TGATAAACAGGAGAAGAAATAGAATGGCAAACAAGAAGAAATAGAATGATAAACAGGAGACAAGAAGAAATAGAATGATAAACAGGAGGCAATAATGAATGACAGATAGATGCAGGAGACAATTAGTAGATACTACATAAGTAAATAGATAAATAGAGAATAATAGATAGATGCAGTACAGCTTGTATTCGTCAACACTGACCTATCCATCGCCTGAAAGAGTGGGTGTAAGGAATAGAATGATAAACAGGGGGCAATAATGAATGATGAATGCAGGGGGGTAACTGAATATCAATAGTAGGAATACATAGATGATTGAAGGCAGTAGAGGGAGAGAAAGAAATAGAACGATGAACAGATAGAGGCAGTGATTGGTAATGCGTAGATGCAGATGATAATTCAAAAGTAGATAATATAAAAATAAATCAGTCAGAGAGTATTTGAAAGAAATAAAATAATAGACGGATGAAGACAAATTAAAGGAGGCATTAACTAGATAGTAGACAGTATATAGATAAGTCAATAGAGTGGGAGAAAGAAACTGAATAATAAGGAGGTACGTAGAGAGGACAGTTGATGAAGGTGCACTGTAGCTGGAAACTGAATAAAAATGATGTGGGTAGAATGAGTAAAGAAAATCGAAAAAGAAATGAGCAAATGAAACACGAAAAAAAATATTTGTGCAAATTGAAGCATTGCCGGGAAGTGTATATCAAATACGGGAAGAAGTGAAGGATATTTCCTTACACACACACACACACACACCACACACAACACATATGTATATATATATATATATATATATATATTATATATATATATATATATATTATATATATATATATATATATATATGTATATGTGTGTGTGGTCTAGTGTGTGTGTGGTGTGTGTGTGTGTGTGTGGTGTGTTGTGTATACAGTACATTCTCTCTCTCTCTCTCTCTCTCTCTCTCTCTCTCTCTCTCTCCTCTCTCTCTCTCTCTCTCTCTCTCTCTCTCTCTCTCTCTCTCTCTCTCTCTGTACTATATATATATTATATATATATATATATATATATATTTATATATATATAATATATATATATATATATATTTACATAATATGTATCATATATATATAATATATATATATATTATATATATATATATTATACCTATATGAATGAGTAAATAAGATAATAGCAATAGTAAAACAGCATTGTACTTAGAAAACACACCTAGGACATTCCAACATCTTTTCAAGAACAAAACGCCAAACCAAAGCAAATATGTCTGAAGTTTGCCATTCACAGGTCGAAATCTGGTATCTTGGAATGACGCCTGTCTGTTGCAGATTTCTTATTTTTTTGAGATCTTGAAGTGATTTCGGAGGCGGAAGGCGTTCCAATTGCTTCTTGCCTTTGCTAGTGTTGTCCTGGACCGCCTGCTTTGAAACTCTCGACACTTACTTCACCGTCCTGCGAATGGGGACCGGTTCGTATCAGGCATAAGGGTCTAAAGGGTGGTGTCGTTGGTCGGTATGCGGCGGAGGCGTGGCGACGGGATGGGAGAGCGGTGGGAGGGAGGGGGTTGGAGAGGTAAGTGGGACGGGATTTTGAGGGAACCAATACGTTTATATGTCGGCCTACGGTATTTTTATTTTTCAGTGTATATGCCCGACTCATGAGAATGTTAATGTTATACTTGATATACAATGACACTGAAGTCAATTAATTATCTTGAACCAACCGTCTGACTCAATAGACTTGATTTGTGTGTACCATTTATTCCACACCAGACGCAGAAAGTACTCTTAATGATACTTCTTGGCGTATAGCTGTGCTGACGGCACTTTTCCCCTACTCTTCACCACCTCCGTCATGTCTGTCTTGATCTACTTTGTCACTTATGTGCGTGTAGTGATTCTCTCACCTTCGTGAATAAATATTTAAATGATGAAGTGGATCAATTTCGCGTCGTACCGACTCTTATTTCATATATGATTTGGATGATCTGTGGCATTCTGGTTGATGTATGATGTCAGAGGTTTATAGTGTTTTTTTTGTTTTTTTTTTTTTTTTTTTTTTTTTTTTTCTTTTTGATGGTATGGAGCTACAACAATGCCTAGCAAACCGTGTGGCATTGGTGTTGGTCGGATGATTGTAAGCGATTTTAGTCTGACTCTTAAGCATGGTTGTTACAGAGATTTGGATATTTGGATGGGTTGTGTAAATCCCTTAGCAGATGGCTGCAGAGAATTGATTAAAGTTTCATTGAAAAATTATGATTTTTATTTCTTATTTTTGAATGTGTTCTTAATCACTCTTCAGTTAAAAAACAAGTCAAGATTCAAAGATTCAATGTACAAGAGGATATAACATTTTCCACGATTCGCAATCAGTTGATTAAGATTCATTATCAGACGTAAATAATGAAATTATTTTATACTCTTCATTTTCCCGAAATGTGTCGAAACGAAGGGAATTAAAATCTCGTTTTTCTTTCCCCGATGATACCACAGTTTTTCTTTGTGGATCAGCTTGACTGGTGCGTCAAGTTCATATTATTGTGCTTAGGAAGAGAGCATTCCTCATCTTCTAGTTGACATCAGGTTACTGATTCATTAGAACTACTGATAATCGAAAGTCGATTTGTCTCTTTTTTGGTGCCTTTCAGCTTTTCGTGCGCACATAAGTTTGTACGTACCGATATAAGAATTCTGTGGTACATCATCTTCAACAGGTATCGCCTTATCACTTAATATCTTATCTTCGGGTTCCTTCGTACATCTTCCTCATGAGAACGAGGTAACTCATATGCGTAAGCTCACACGTTCAGACCATTAGAATTAGTGTAAATAGAACTCTTGTATATAACTCCCCACAGTATAACCGATTAAGTAACAAGTCTAAACAACAATGGAATAACTATTATCAATAATACACGCATAATTCACGTTAGTAAACAGTACGTGCTAAGTGAGCTATAAATAAGTATGATTTCTGGCATAACGTAATAAGTGCATGTCTTCCAGATATAGTCTTGTACCTAATTCGTCTAATTCACCATCTATGAAAAAAGCTTCTAACACTCTTTCCTCCGAAAGAATAACTTTATTGTCAGCGCTCTAGATGATATCTTAGTAAACTGTCGGTTCTCCTACCATATCTAAGTACCATGCCCCACTCGATATACAATTTCCTTACATCGCTATTACATGTGGACTAATCACTGTAATATGTGCTATTTGAACTAAAGCAATTGGTACTCCACAATACACGGAATCTATATACTCACACTTTGTCCGGGACTGAAATATTGTCGCATACATTATAGTCGTAGACTCTTGAACACATCGCTTATTAAAAGTATATAGCATGAATAATGATAACTCGCTCCGAAATAATATAAACGGAATACACTGTACATTAATATTGAAGCTAACCAATTTAAACTAAAATATAATCTCAGTTATGTTATGATCACTATAGTAGATTATTTGTACAGATCTATCTTGCACACACACACACACACACACATACGACACACACACTACACACAGCACACTCCAATTATAACTCTCCTCTTTTGTTTCTCCTGGTAGTCTTACGTTCCAATATAAATAAAGTTCCTGGTCTATCCAAAATATCGTTGTTACGTTTATGATGTTTCCCGATCTTTTTATTGACTGTACGTCCACCATCTTAACCTACTCCATTAGGACATCCTTATGCTCCATTTTACTCATATATTCATGTTATTAATTTTTTTTTTTGCTCTTTTACGTATTAGTTTACCCTCCTGCTCACATCACTATATATAATGACAACAAATCAGCTTCAGTCAAATGCCTCCGCTCTATTAGCCCACTCCAAATCATCATTTCCCTTCGGTCTCTCCTCTACAAGCTTCTTCCTCCTTCTTAAAAAAATATCTTTCGTCTGTATGTGTTCTTTGCACAACCTTTTCGCCTATCCTTTCCACATAATACTTCACCTACCTCTTTATCTTCTTTCCCCCTCCGTACGTCCTCCCAGTTTCGCATAATTCCATATACCTATCCCTCCTCCTTTTTCCCCTTTCCACCAACTCTCCCTTTATTCCGACTTTCCATGCCAATGATTAAACCGCTTACTTACCACTCTCCCCTTTCCTATCCTCCGCTACCCATATTCTCCCTTTTCCTTTCCCTAACTCTTGATAATTAATGGCCGGCGCTACACTCTCCCATTTGCAACTCTCTTTATCTCTTTCGTTCTCCGCGCCTACTTAATTGTCTTCGACCCTTTCCCACACTCATCTTTCCTTCCTATTAAACGTCCTCTCCCCTCCCAAAGCAAGCACCTTCCGCCCACCTCGTCTCCTTGCCTACCTCCTCCCCTTCCTACTCCACATTTTCAACCCTGTCTACATTCTTCCGTCCTCCATAACAACAAACATTTCAAACCCGCTTTCTTCCCCTTTTCATTGACACCCATCTTCCTTTTCCCACAACACCCATACCCATAGCCCAACCCACCTCCCTTCCTTTTCCAAATACCTACCCATCTCCCTTTCCCCACAATGGTGCACAGTCCAACCCACCTTCCTCTTCCCACCCCTGTTTCCCCACCACCTCCTTTCCCCCACCATCACATACCTCCCACCACCCACCCCACCTACCACACTGCCACCCACCGACCTTCCCCTCTACACATCCTCACCCACCCATCCCCTTTCCTCACACCACACCCATCTCCCTCCCCCTCCACACCTCACCACCACCCATCTCTCCCTCCCACCTCCACACCAACACCACCCACCCACCTCCCTCCCTCTCCACCCAACACCACCACCACCTCACCTCCCCCTCCAAACCACCCTCACCCGCCCCTCCCCCGCCCCCACTCGCCAAACCCACCTTATTGAAGTCAGCCAACTCGGCGATTTCGTTCCACAGGTTAGTCATGATCTTCTGGTTGGAGGCGAAGGTGTCGGGGGAGAACTCGCCGTGGCCTTCGATGAGGGTGACGCGGACGGCGAGGCAGTCGAAGTCGTTCTTGTCCAGGAAGCCGTTGTTGTCGATGTCTGGGGGAGAGGAGAGAGGGGGAGGAGTTAGAGGGATGTTTGAGCAGAGAGAGAGAAGGAGCGAGAGGGGAGGAAGGAAGAGGAGAGAGAGGAGAGGGGAAAAGGAGAAGAGAGGAGAGAGGAGGCGGGGGAGAGGGATGGCGAGAAGAAAGACAGACTGATAGAGAGAGACAGACAGAGACAGTCAGACAAAGTGACATATGAATAAAAGAGTAAAGGCACAGTAAATACACAAACAACGTAGAGGTAAATAAGTACTTTCTGCCGTAGATCACCAAGATTGAGAATATGACTCATATTTACCTCACGGCTCACGAGATGAATAAATAAGTATAAATGAATAGGTCTCTAATAAATCAGTGACAGCAAGACTTTTTTACATACATCTAAAAGCAAGCGTAGAACTTAACTCAGATAGGCATTCTTTTGAAATAGCTAAATAGATAGGAATGAATAAAGATAAACAAACTGGTTTACAACGAATTAGTGAAGATAAGATTTTTTTTTTCTAAAGAGCAAATTGTAGATAGATAAATTGAAATTAAATATTTTTAATTGACTAAATAGATCAGTAAATATCTTAAGAAACAGGAGTCGATGGATGAGTGCTGGTATGGGTGTACATACAAAAATGGATGTGAAGAGTAAATGGTGTACAAATATAAACGGATGAGAGTAATGGGTGCACATATCTCCATGGGTGAGACGAGCCATGGTTGTACATACAAATAAATTAGTGAAAAAACACGTAAATAAACTATAAACAGTAAATAAAGATTAATGGATAATAAATTCATATGACCAGACAAGCACCAGTTAATTTCTTACATCACTTGATACATGTTTTTTTTTTTTTAAGATAAAGAGTCAAATAATTTGCAGAAGAGAAAGTAGAATGGGCTGTTATATGTGCACCAATAAATTCAAGAAGATATCTCGGGAAAAGATTATGAATTATACAAGCGTGTGTGTGTGTTTTGCATACCCCGCGTTGCGAATTGATATACTGATAAGATGACGAAAATGTAGACGGAAAGACAAGCGAAAATATACAAAGCATAAAGGGAAAACAGTTAACTAACGATGTGGACGGAAAGACAAACGAAAATATGCAGAGAATAACGTGAAAATATACAAATATGCAGATGGAAAGACAAACAAAAATAAGCAAAGCATAATGTGAAGATAGACGAATATGTAGACAGAAGGATAAACAAAAATATACAAAGAAAAATGTGAAAATAGACAAAGATTTAGACGTAAAGACAAACTAAAACATACAAAGCATAATGTGAAAACAGACAAAGATATAGACAGAAAGACTAGAAAAAATATGCGAAGAATAATGTGAAAACGGACAAATATGTAGACGGAGAAATGGAAAGGCAAACAAGAATATACAAAGAATGATATAAAACCAGACTAATATGGAAAGGGAAAGACAATCAAAAATGAATAAAGAATAATGAGAAAGCAGACGAAAATGTATGCGGAATAATGAAAAAAAACACGAACAAGTAGACAAAATAAGAAATAAACAGAAGAGAACAGACGAAAATGTAGACAGAAAGAATGGACAAACAGATCAGACGAGAATGTCAACAGAATAATGGACAAACAATAAAAAACAAGCGAAAATATAGACAGAAAAATGAAAAACCAGACATACAAGAGAATATCAAATAGAAGAGAAAAACATGGATAACCAGATAAATAGACGATAACGCAGACAGAAAGAACGAATAAACAGCTCAAGATAAACCGAAAAAATAATAAAACAGATAAAGAGAAACCGAAAATATAGACAGAAAAATGGATAACCAGACACAGACTAAAATGCAGAATAGAAAAAAAAAACATGGATAACCCGATAACCAGACGAGAATAACCCGAAAATCCCGATGCCAATTACCCTCCTCAGACGATGAAAAAAAGAAGAAAAAGAAGAAGAAGAAGAAGGAACATCTGTAAATAATAAACGGACAAACAAAAGACTCTCGCGATGCGTTCCCGGAAGACTTTAAGAAGAACAGGAAATAAAAATAGAACAAAAAAAAAGAAAAGGAAAAACAAGAAAAACGAAGAAAGAAAAGAAGAGCAGGAAATAAAAAAAAAGACGATCGGGTGAAAGGAGCAGCAAATGAAAATAAAAGACATAAAAAAGGAAAGAGAAAAAGAAATAGAATAAAAGAAAATTATTTTTCTTTTTTTAGTCACAAAAAACACAAATGAACTGGCTTAGCGAAGACGATCGGGTGAAGAGGAGCAGAAAAGAAATATAGAACACAAAAAAAAGAAGGAGAAAAAGAAGAAAAAAGAAAGAGAAAAAGAAATAGCAAAAGAAGAAAAAAAGAAAGTCATCGGGTAAAGACGAGCAGCAAATAAAAAAACAAAACGCATAAAAAAAGAAAAAGAAGAAAATTATCGGGTAAAGAGGAACAGGAAACAAAAAT